GGCGCCAAAAGAAAAATAAAAAGAATTGTGAAACTAGTAGTAATAAAATAAATAAGAGAGAATATAAGTCATCTACAGTTATACCATATAAAGAAGGGACATCTGAGACCCTACGTAGGATTCTAAATAAAGCAGGAATTAGGGTGGCATTTAAACCTACAAACTCACTCAGGGACAAGCTCTGTAGGTTAAAGGACCCAGTGGACCCAATTAGACAAAATAATATAATTTACAAAATACCCTGCAATGACTGTGAGGTCAACTACATAGGTCAAACTAGTAGGTCAGGGGTAGTCAGATTGTCAGAACATAAGAATTTAGCTAAGATAAGAATGGTTGACCCAGAGAAGATAAGTAATTTAGAAAAAAGCTCGGCAATCGCAATGCATGCATTAACACACAACCACACAATAGGGTGGGAGAGGGTTAAAATTCTAAAAAGTAATCTAGGTAGGTGGAGAGAGAGGTTGATTACTGAATCTTTGTTCATCGAATCTACACCCAACACATGCAACAGAAGTGACTCAATGCAAATACCAGAAATATGGAAGATATTATTGCCGACAGTCAAATCAGAAGAAGATGATAAATAGTCTTAAAATTCTATTTCCATTCAAGCACATCATAACATTCTAACAATCAACTTATTATGACTGTAAAAAAACACTCGTCGTATTTCCCATCTAATTGCAATGGATTAATAACACTCGTATTATTGCCACCAGTCAAATCAGAAGAGGATAATAAATAATCTATTTCCATTCAAACACATTCTAGCAATCAACTTATTATGATTATAAAAACACTCGTCGTATTTCCCATCTAATTGCAATGGATTAATAACACTCGTACTATTATTTCTGAATGTACATTATCTCATATTGAATTTTAATCCAATATCTAGTCGATTCCACACATGTATATAAATGAAGGAAAGAAGTTGTGTGAGTAACTTGATATGATTATGAGCAATAGTTTGTGCTCGAAACGTCATCAGTAAATATTACTGTATAACACTGTGAGACTCTATCAAAATAAAAATTTACCCATAATAAACCTGAGAAGACAAGTGACCAGTCTTCGAATAATTGAGACCACTGTGTAAAGGTAAGCTGAATGATAACCAAGTTTATGATGAATAAAAGCAGTTTTCAGCAACAAAAATTGCTCTATCTCAAGCTTTTCTGCAACGATTTCTGTTGTGCACAGTTTTGCACTTTAAGGGTTCCGAATGAGAGTCGCATCATTGCATGATTCAGCGTGGCATGGAAGGGGTCATAAGGAAAGGGAATTAAATACTGTAGGGAGTCGTTGACGCAAATGAAAGTGATGGCAGAGAATCGAATCCAATGGAAATCTGCTCCTGAAGCTGTAAATTCAACTCACAGTGAAAATATCTGATTGCATAGTGTTGTTAGAAAAGCCTGAGATATTTGCGTAGTTCTTAATAAAAAGCCTGACTACATATCAGCTTCCCTGGGCACTTTGTGTGAATCTAGAATTTAATGAAAACCTACATATGGTTCACACAGCAACAATCTGGTGCTAAGGTGACTTTGGTAAAAATCCTGCTAGGATTACACTCAGCGGTGACGTTTGCCAATACATTTCATTGTGGATGGTGTGTGTTAAAGTTAGTCCTTTCAAGAAGACATGGAAATACCAATCTTTACACACTCATTTATCAGTTCATTATATAAATAACCTACTGTTTCCATAAAAAGAACATTGGTGAACACCAAGTTGATCGTGAAATCATGGTTATTTATATGTCTCTGATTCCGTTTTTCTGTTATTCAGTCTCGTCTATTAGATTAACAGTAAGCATGGCGTGAGGACAACGAATTCGTAATTGAGTATATAACTCTGAAACTGTGTTAGAGTTAATCCTATATAATTTATCCACTAAGTGTGTCAGTAATAAACGCATTATGCATTTCATTCAACCGGAACTGCATCAAAGTGGTAAACATTCTCGAAACTACACATGAAGCCGCTTAATTGTATGCCCGAAGTAACTTGAATCACTGGAACAGTTGAAACTGTATAAGCCTGAGAAAGGCCTAAGATTAGTCAAGAGGTTTTGCATTTTAAGGTTAAACATTTGGCTGCTGTTGAAGGATGGGAACAAGTGCCTAAAGTAGAAAGTCTTCATTATCGCTGTGGTTCGATATATTGATAGAATGACTGTTTTCCAGCAATTGCTGCTTCATGTTTGCGACTAATATGAAAAATGTAAGAACAAACAGTTCAGTGAGGAGTCGCTTTTCGGTGAATTCATTCACCTATCTGTATAGTCGTCATTATATATAATTACTTTTGTAAATGTGTAAATTAGGTTTGTCAGACAAGAATAAAAATTAATAAGTATCGTTGTTTACACCATCAAAATGTTTCAAAAGATGTGATGAATAATGAGTTGGTAACTAGGAGAGTGAATATTAGTAACTATCATCAAGGGTTATGTAATATGGAAGACATCCAAAAAATAGGATATTAATGAAAGAGTATGGAGACAAGTGTCCAAAATAAATTATGCTATAGGTGGAAAGAGTGAATATAAGGTTGGTTAAGAAAAAGGTGTTAATAAAATACCATAGAAAAAATTCACAAATAATATTATTAACAAAGTAGTCGAATATTTTTACTTTTATAAACAGTTCCGGATATTCATTTTTGCTTGGCATAGCCTGGGTGACACAGAGTATTTTCTACACAGTCTTCGGAGCAAGCGAACCACGTTCTAATTGGCGAGTATCTGATCAAATTACGTTTGCATCTCATGCTTAAGAAGCCAAAGAAGTGTATATATTGGTCTTTGTTCCATAGCTCTCTCAAACACGGGGTACCGTTAAAACAAATTCTACGTATGGGAAATTTGACATACCATAATTTATCTAGATGGCTGGTAAATATTCTAAAACCTTTACATAAAACGCCGGTGAAATACAGTGTGAAGGATGTGTTGGAATTCGCAGACGGACTGCAAGATACCAACAACAAAGATAAAACTATGATATTTTTGAACATAACATCCCTATTCCCAAATGCACCTCTAACTGAAACGGTTAACTAGATGTGTGGATAGCAAGTCATTAAATATTGGAATTCTAATGTAAATCCTTAAAACAATGATTAATCAGACAG